TGGATACGCTGGTCACCAGCAAGAGTGGGATGAGGCAGATCTTCGTCATCGTGGATAGGTTTAGTAAGTATGCTAGGTTAATAGCGATGCCGGAGACAGCGAAGACCGAGTATGTAATTAGGCTGTTCAAAGAGAACTGGGTGAGGGATTTTGGATTGCCTAAGTCTATTGTAAGTGACAGGGATGTCAGATTTACAAGTGAGTTATGGAAGGCCGCTGCAGGTGAACAGGGAACTCAACTGCAAATGACTTCTGGAAACCATCCAGAAGCAAACGGCCAGGCTGAACAGGTGAACCGCGCTGTTCAACACCTGTTGAGGCATTACATTAAGCCCAACCAGGTGGACTGGGACGAGAAGCTTGCTCTTCGCCAGTCTGTACAATAACGTTGTACACAGCGCTATCGGGGTAAGTCCTAACAGTCTACAGCTTACCTTTAGGCCTAGACTGCCCTTAGACTTCCTACTTCCTGATAACCAGCCAACTGTTGCACCAGGCACTTTGGAATTCGCTTATCATTACGAACAGAAAATACAGGAGGCTGTAGAGCACATGCAGAAGGCGCAGGCAGCAATGATAGAATCTGAGAATAAACACCGCCGCCCTTCTACATTTCAGGTTGGGGACAGAGTCTAGGTCAAGTCTTCAGAATTGGGACAGGAGTTCGGGATATCCCACAAACTCATGCCTCAGTACTTTGGACCTTGGGAAGTTTTAGACGTAGTAGGGACAGATACTGATGGTCCATCTTATGTCATCCGTATCCCTGGTCACCTCAGAACTTACCCAGTCTTTCACGCCTCTAAGCTCGCTGCATCCAAGGAAACTGATCAGTTTCCCTCTCGTCGATCAATGCTGCCCCCAACCATGGACGGAGAAGTCGACATCGATGATATCGTCGACCACAGAGAGATGCCAGTTCAGAAGCCTCCGGGAAGGGGACGTCCTCCAAAGCCAAAGCTGCAGTTTCGTGTCCACTTCAGACATCACACAGATCCGAAGGAGGACCGCTGGTTTACTCGGGAGGAATTGATGCAGACCGCTCCTCAAATCGTTGCCCGCTATGAGACAGATGTATTGAAAGGAAAGCGCCAGATGGCTCAGGATTGATCTTCTCAGAGGACTAACGAAGATATGGAGGGAATGCGAGACTACGCCCGCTCAGCCCCTTCGGGGCCCTTTTTGCAGCATGTCGCCCGCCCTAAGTGAAGGCAGGCGCGACCGGCCCTCAGGGCCTCGATTTTCAGGGTACCCTGCAACTGGTGAAATTCAGACAGTTGCGCTGCGCCAGTTGGTTGAAGGCGCCCAGGCCCAGGCCATATTTTGCAAATGTATCTGAATGGTGACCTGGGCCAGACGTGTGGAAAAGGCCGTGAGCAGGCCAAGGGCAGTTGGGCACATGCAACCATCAGGCCCTGGGCCTGCGTGTGAGGTCTGGGCCTGTGCCTACCGGGG